GGGACAAGGAGGGGACACGGGGGGACAGAGAGGGGGGACAGGGACAGCCCAGGGCTCTCTCGCCCTCCCCTCCAGCCGTGCCTCCTCCTGCACTTCGAGCTCCGCTCCGCCCCTTTGGTGCCGTTTTCCCGCGGTCACCGATGTCCCGATTTCCGGGGTTTTGGGGTTTTTTCGGGCCCGGTTCATTCGATCCCCTCTCCTCCCAGAGCGCTCGGAGCCGGAGTGCTGTGCGGGGTCCCGAGATTCCCGTTCCCTTCCCGAAAGGAAATTCCGTCTTGGGAAGGGAAAGGAAACGCTGCGGTTTCACTGGGGATCCATGGGATCTTTGGGCCAGGTCCCAGCGCTGCCAGCACCCCGTGGGGACAGCGATGGGGACAGCGATGGGGACAGGGATGGGGACAGGGACAGTCCGGGGGGACACGGGACACTGGGGACAGGGGACACTGGGGACATGGGACACTGGGGACAGGGGACACTGGGGACATGGGACACTGGGGACAGGAGCCACCCCGCGACACGGGACACTGGAGGGGGGTGATGGGACACCCTGGGGACACCCTGGGGACATGGGGACACCCCAGGGGGATGGGGACATCCTGGGGACATGGGACACTGGGGACAGGAGCCACCCCGCGACAGGGGACACTGGGGGGGTGATGGAACACCCTGGGGACATGGGGACATCCTGGGGACGCTGGGAGGACATGGGGACATCTTGGGGGCACGGGGACATCTTGGGGACATGCTGGGGACACCGGGAACTCTGAGGACATGGAGCACGCTGGGGACATTGGGGACACCCCGGGGTGGGACACCCTGGGGACACCCTGGGGACACCCTGGGGACACCCTGGGGACATGGGGACATCCTGGGGACGCTGGGAGGACATGGGGACATCTTGGGGGCACGGGGACATCTTGGGGACATGCTGGGGACACCGGGAACTCTGAGGACATGGAGCACGCTGGGGACATTGGGGACACCCCGGGGTGGGACACCCTGGGGACACCCTGGGGACATGGGGACACCCTGGGGACACGGGGACACCCCGGGGTGGGACACCCTGGTGACACTGGGGACATTGGGGACACCTGGAGGATATGGGGACATCTTGGGGACACGGGGACACCCTGGGGTGGGACGTCCTGGGGATACCATGGGGACATTGGGGACAGCAGGAGGACATGGGGACACCCTGGGGACACGGGGACACCCCGGGGTGGGACATCCTGGGGACACCATGGGGACATGGGTACATTGGGGACACTGGGAGGACATGGGGACACCATGGGGACACCATAGGGACACCCTGGGGACATTGGGGACACCGGGAGGACATGGGGACATCTTGGGGACATGGGGACACCCTGGGGTGGGACATCCTGGAGACACCATGGGGACACTGGGGACATTGGGGACAGCAGGAGGACATGGGGACATTGGGGACATTGGGAGGGTGGGGTTGGGATTTGGGGATTTGGGGATTTTGGGGTTGTTGGGATTTGGGGATTTCGGGATTTGGGGCTGTTGTGGGATTTTGGGTCTTGGATTTCAGGATGTTGAACGTCGGGATTTCAGGATTTCGGGATTTCAGGATTTTGGGCTGTTCGATTTTGGAATTTCAGGATTTTGGGCTGTTGCGCTTTGGGATTTCAGGATTTTGGGATTTTGGAATTTTCGGGTGTTGGGATTTCAGGATTTTGGGATTTGGGGTGTTGGGATTTGGGGCTGTTGTGTGTTGGGATTTTGGGATGTTGCGTGCTGGATTTGCGGATTTTGAGATCTTGGGATGTTGGGATTTTGGAATTTCGGGGTGTTGGGATTTTGGATTTCCAGGATTTTGGGATATTGGGATTTTGGGATATTGGGTGTTGGGATTTGGGGCCTTGGATATCAAGATTTTGGGATTTGGGGATGTTGCATCTTGGGATTTTGGGTGCTGGGTCTTGGATTTTGGGATTTTGAGATTTTGAGATTTTGGGATGTTGGAATTTTAGGATGGCTGTGTTTTGGGACTTGGGATTTTGGGATTTTGGGATTTGGGGCTGTGTTGTGTTCTTTTGGGACTTTGGATGTTGGAATTTTGGGATTTTGGGATTTGGGGCTGTGTTGTGTTGGGATTTAGCGATGTTGGGTGTTGGATTTGGGGATTTTGAGATCTTGGGATTTTGGGATGCTGGGCATTGGGATTTTGGCATGTTGGATTTTGGGATTGTGGGGTGTCGGGATTTCGGGATGTTGGGATTTGGGGATTTCAGGTGTTGGACATTGGGATTCCAGGACTTTTGGATTTCGTCGCGTTGGAGTCGCGCCCTGATGTTGGATGTTGGGATTTAGGAATGTTGGGATTTCGGGATTTCGGGTGTGGATGTTGGGATTTTCGGGTCTTGGGATGTTGGGTTGTGCATTTTGGGATTTGGGGCTGTTGTGTGTTGGGATTTCGGAATTTTGGAATGCTGGGATCTTGGATGTTGGGATGTTGGGCATTGGGATTTGGGGATGTTGGGGTTTGGGATTTGAGATTTTGGGGTGTTGGGATTTGGGGATTTGGGGTGTTGAGTGCGGGAATTTTGGGATTTTGGGCTGTTGGGATTTGGGGCTGTTGGGATGATGGGATTTTGGGTCTTGGATTTTGGGATTGGTGGATATTGGGACGCTGAGATTTTGGAATGCTGCCACGCTGGGATTTGGGGATTTTGGGACTTTGGGATTTGTGGATTTCAAGACTTAATTTGGGGATTTGGGGACTTTGGGATTTTGGGACTTTGGGATCTCAGGACTTTGAGATTTGGGGACTTTGGGATTTGGAGATTTGGGGATTTCGAGACTCTGGGGATTTAGGGATTTGGCATTTGGGGATTTCAGGACTTGATTTGGGGACTTTGGGATTTGGGGATTTGGGATTTCAGAATTTGGGGATGTCTGGACTCTGGGATTTGGGGACGCTGCGATTTGGGGATTTGGGGATTTCGAGACTTTGGGAATTGGGATTTCAGAATTTGGGGATTTAGGGATTTGGAATCTCGTGATTTGAGGACTTGATTTGGGGATTTGGGGACTTTGGAATTTGGGGATTTCGGAACTTTAGGATTTGGGGATTTCGGATTTGGGGATGCTGGGAGGTCAGGATACGCTGGGATTTGGGGATGCTGGGATTTGGGATTTCATAATTTGGGGATTTTGGGACTTTGGCATTTGAAGATTTGGGGATTTCGAGACTTTGGGATTTCAGGATTTGGGGTTTGTCCCCAGGCCGTCCCTGCTGCAGTGGGCGCTGCTGCTCCTCCGCCGCTTCCACGCCCAATTCCTGCGGGAATTCTCCTGATCCCAAATCCCCTGGGAACCCCAATCCCAATTCGGGATTTGTCGGGAACAGGCTCCGGAGCTTCCGGATTCAGGAAAACCCCAAAAACCTTGCCCGGGAATTCCATGGCAGAACACGGAGCCGAGAGATCCCAGACCGGGATCCGGGAAAAAAATCCAGGACCAAAATCCCATTTCCAGATCCAAAATCCCCTTTTCCAGGACGAAATGGAGCTGGAATTCCCAAGGACTGGAGGAGCTGGAATTCCCAAGGATTGGAGCTGGAATTCTCAAGGGTTGGAGGAGCTGGAATTCCCAAGGGCTGGAGGAACTGGAATTCCCAAGGATTAGAGCTGGAATTCCCAAGGACTGGAAGAACTGGAATTCCCAAGGATTGGAGCTGGAATTCCCAAGGGTTGGAGGAGCTGGAATTCCCAAGGACTGGAGGAACTGGAATTCCCAAGGGTTGGAGGAGCTGGAATTCCCAAGGGTTGGAGGAGCTGGAATTCCCAAGGCTTGGAGAAGACAGAATTCCCAAGGAATGGAGGAGCTGGAATTCCCAAGGATTGGACCTGGAATTCCCAAGAATTGGAGGAGCTGGAATTCCCAAGAATTGGAGGAACTGGAATTCCCAAGGAATGGAGGAGCGGATATTCCCAGGAATCGGAGGAACTGGAATTCCCAAGGATTGAAGAAGCTGGAATTCCCAAGGCTTGGAGAAGACAGAATTCCCACGGAGTGGAGGAACTGGAATTCCCACTGGTTGGAGCTGGAATTCCCAAAGTTTGGAGGAGCTGGAATTCCCACGAGAAGAACCTGCAGGAATTCCCCCGACCCGAAATCCCGCCCCCCAAATTCCCCAAATCCCGCAAAAACCCCGCCCGGATCCCCCACGGGTGCCACCACTCTCCTTTATTTGGGGACCCGCCCCGGAATTCCCAAAAAAATGAAGGCACGGAGACACCTGGAGACCACCCAGGGCCTGGTGGGAATTGTGGGGTGGCACGCGGTGACACGCGGTGACACGCGGTGACACGAGGTGACAGGGGGTGGCAAAGGGGGCGTGGCAAAGGGGGCGTGGCAAAGGGGGCGTGGCCACCCTCGTTAAGAGAATTCCTGGACGAACTTGGTGTAGAAGTCGCTGAGCTTTTCCAGAAGGATCTTCAGCTTCTCCGTGGGCGGCAGGATGGTCATCCTGGCGGGAAAGTTAAAATTTGGGAAAAGGCGGGGAGGGGAGTCCCGAAATTCCCGACCCCAAAAATTCCGTCGGGTGGTAAAAAAAGGAAAAAAACAAATCCAAAAAAATTCCCGTTCCCGCGTTGTTTGGGATTTGGGGATTGGGGATTTGGGATTTGGGGAGTTGGGAGTTGGGGATTTGGGGGTTTGGGATTTGGGGATTGGGGATTTGGGATTTGGGGTTTGGGAATTGGGGATTTGGAACTTGAGGTTTGGGGATTTGGGATTTGGGGGTTTGGAATTTAGGATGGGGGAATTTGGGGTTTGGGGATTTGGGATGTGGGAACAGGGGTTTTGGGATGAGGGGATTTGGGACAGGGGGATTTGGGGTTTTGGGATGGGGGAACAGGGAATTTGGGATGGGGGATTTGGGGTGGTAGATTTTGGGATTTGGGGATTTGGGAACAGGGACTTTGGGATGGGGGGATTTGGGACAGGGGAATTTGGGGATTTGGGATGGGGGGATTCGGGGATTTGGGATAGGGAACAGGGAATTTGGGGTGGGGGATCCCAAGAACAGGGAATTTGGGTGGCGTCTTCCAGGAACAAGGAATTTGGGGTGGGATCTCCCCAGAACAGGGAATTTGGGGTGGGATCTCCCAGGCACAGGGAATTTGGGGTGGGATCTCCCAGGCACAGGGAATTTGGGGTGGGATCTCCCAGGCACAGGGAATTTGGGGTGGGATCCTACCGAAAGTGGTAGGTGCCTTCCTTCTGTCCGAAGCCGCTTCCTGGGACGACGCAGATCCCGGTTTCCTCCAGGAGCCTCATGCAGAAGAACATGTCCGGGGCCTGCTTCTTCTCCTGGGAATTCGGGATGGAATTCCGGGGTCGGAAAAACAGGGATCCGATCCAGCAGGGGGCCGAGGGCTCATCCCATACTCCCCATGTGGATTGGGATCGATCCCCATGAGTCCCACATGGATTGGGATTGATCCCCATGAGTCCCACATGGATTGGGATCGATCCCATCCATCCCAGCATCTCCCAGTTGGGATTCTGTCCATCCCAGGATGGATCCTGTCCATCCCAGCTGGAATCCCATCCATCCCAACAACTCCAGGTCTGGATCCCATCCATCCCAACATCTCCCAGGTTGGGATCCCACCCATCCCAGTTGGGATTCCATCCATTTCAACATCTCCCAGGTTGGAATCCCGTCCATCCCAACAACTCCTGGTCTGGATCCGTGGATCCTGTCCATCCCAGTTGGGATTCCGTCCATTTCAACATCTCCCAGGTTGGAATCCCGTCCATCCCAACAACTCCTGGTCTGGATCCTGTCCATCCCCATATTCCCAGTTTGGATCACGTCCATCCCCGTATTCCCAGTTTAGATCCCGTCCATCCCAACATCTCCCAGCTGGGGTGACACCCATCCCAGTTGGGATCCTGCCCATCCCCACATTCCCAGTGCAGATCCCACCCATCCTGGTTTGGATCCCGTCCATTCTTGGGGATCCTGCCCATCTCTGCATCTCCCAGTTGTGATCCCATCCATCCCAGTTTGGATCCCATCCATCCCAGCATCTCCCAATTGGAATCTTAGCCATCCCAGCATCTCCCAGTTGTGTTCCCATCCATCCCAGTTTGGATCCCATCCATCCCAGCATCTCCCAGTTGGAATCCTGTCCATCCCAGTTGGTATCCCATCCATCCCCAGTTTCCTGGTTTGGATCCCGCCCATCCCATCTCCAGGTTGGGATCCCATCCCAGTCAGGATCCTATTCATCCCAACATCTCCTGGCTGGGATCCCAACATCTCCCGGCTGGGATCCCATCCATCCCCACATCTCCCACTGTGGATCCCGCCCGTTCCCGGCGTGGATCCGGCCCGTTATTCCCGTTATTCCCGTTATTCCCGGACCCTGGCGGCGGCCACGGCGCGGGGCGGCAGGTCGATGCGGGGGAAGGAGTACATGGCGCCCTGCACGGGGTTGCAGTGGATGCCGGGCGTGCGGTTGAAGATCTCCTGCGTCAGCCGCGCCTTCTCCGCCAGGGCGCTGAGCACCGCCTCCTTCTCCTGCCCGGGACAAACGGGAATTCTGATCCGGGACACCCCAATATCCCACTATCCCATCCCATTATCCCACTATCCCACCCTGTTGTCTCATTATCCCATCCCATTATCCCATTATCCCAACCCATTATCTCATTAGCCCACTATCTCATTATCCCATTATCCCATTATCCCATTACCCCATCCCATCCTATTATCCCATTATCCCATTATCCCATTACCCCATCCCATCCTATTATCCCATTATCCCATTATCCCATTATCCCATTATCCCATTATCCCATTA